AAGAAAGAGAAGGTAGGAAATGAGGAGTATAAATTTATGGAATTAAAAACAGAAAATAGATAAAACCAATTAAATCAGAATCTAAATTTTCATGGAGTAACAATAACAAACTTGTAAAGCCCTCAACATTAAAAAGAAAAAAAAATCAATGTCAGTTGGGCTTGGAAGTTAGAGGTAGGTGGACCTCTGTGAGTTCAAGACCAGTCCGGTTCACATAGCAAGTTACTGGACAGTAGGACTGCACAGATAGCACCTTGTCATCACTTATGATAAAAGAATTTTAAATAGGGGGATTGGATTGATACAGAAAAAAGAAAATTCAAAGTCATTCAAAATAAAAAGTCTCGGCAAACTGTTCTTGAGCTCAATGCAACCCAGGCTGGCTTGGAGGATATGACCTTGCTGCTTTGGCTTTGCACTACATGCATCACCACATCTAGTCAAACAGCATCGAAAACAATTTAAAACTGATAATACTAAGTGCTGTCAAGGCTGGAATGCTCACACAGTGCTGGCGGGAACACATGATACGATCACTTTAGAGGACACCCCTGGGCACTTAAGGATGTGAAATAAACACTCATTGCTCAGAAGACTTACATCCCTGTAACTTCCATATACTGACATCTCAACCCTAGAGGTGATTGGGAATGCAGGCTCTCATCAGATTAGACAGACCTTCTCTACCATGTGATGGCATAGCTAAAATGAATCATACATGACTAGAGGGCCAACCTCCATCAGACACCAAATCTCCCCATGTGTTGGATGTGGTCTTTCCAAAACTATGAGAAACAAGTATCTGTTTATAAGCTTCCCAGCTGATGAGCTTCTAGAGACAAGTATCTCTTCCTATGTTGCCCAGTTGGTGGTCAGCTTCTAGCACACACATACACTAAGCTATCCATAGAAATCCTGAACAAGGTATTTATAGGAGCTTTATTTATAATAATCAGAAATTACAAAGGTGGTTAAAGTGACCCCTCTCCCCTATAAACAGGCTGACAAATAAGCTATGTTATAAACATACAGTGGACTATATCTAGCAATAAAAATGAACTATTAACTATGCAGTGCATTTTGCTATGTGAAAGAAGCCAGATTCCAAAGAATGTGTATTCTATATGTCTATTATATGACATTCTGAAAAAGAAACTAAATAAACAAAAAACAGATCTGTGGATTCCAGGCATTGGAAGTAGAAAGAGGAGTTGACTAAAAGGGACTAGGGGACTGACCTTCACAGGAGCAGGTACAAGGAAGCAACTGCCCAGGGAGCAGGCCCAAGCCAGAGACCTCTGTGGGACCAGGCCCATGCCAGGGACATCAGTGGGACCAGGCCTGAGCCAGCAACCTCTGCCAAAGCAAGCCTGAGCCAGTGAACTCAAAGAGAGCAGTCCCCAGCCAATGATCTCCACTGGAGCAGGCCTGAGCTAGTGATCTCTGCCAGAGCAGGCCCAAGGCTAAGAACATTTGCTATGCAAGTTTGGGGGCAGATGTAAGATCAAATCCCCGGCACCCATGTAAAAAGCTAGGTGTGGCTGCATGTGCCCTGTAACTCTAACATTTCAGGGAGAAGACAAAGAGGATTCTGGGAGCTCAGTGGCCATCCATCCAGACTAGCCAAATCCAAGAGCTCTAGGTTCAGATCCTGTCCCAAGACAATTCAGTAGAGAGAGATGAGGAAGGCTTCCCCACATGCATGGGCATATGACCTGAACACTCATTTATGTATCATTAAAATACATAATAATTTTAATTTTATTATTATTTAATTTTAAATTATTAATAATTTTAATGCATTTAAATTTACATTATAAATACTCATTATGTACACACGCCATCAACTCAGAGCTGTAGGTACAGTTTAGAGACTACATGAGCAAGATTCTGGACCCAATCCCTGAAGGGTTGATGATATGAAGGCCTCAGATGAAATGAGAAATTCCAGACAGAAAAGTTGACTGATAAGACTTGTGTAAGCTTCTGACAAGAAGATCAACATACCAATCCCCACTGGTATCTACCACTTCAAGACTGGAGGGGAAGTGATCTGCAGATAGAATCTTCCATCCCTTTTTCCTTTCTGTACAACCCCAAACCCCGATACTACATGAACACAGTCTTTAGGCCATTCTGCTACTGGAGATGCCTGTCTGCTTTCTATTATTTCAATGTTGCCTCCATCAGTAGTGATCTAACAACAATCCCCAGTGCTCAATTTATTAGCTAATTAACTAATATGTATGCTTAGTGGCATCAACTTACTGTGGAACATTTTATAATTTACATACCTTTACAATCCTAATTAAAACCCACTTCTTCAATGAATCATTCCAGTCCATGCCTTAATTTTTTTTAAAGAAACCAGTGTCTTCTACAATATATCGGTATAGTCTATGAAAACAAAAGATAACTGTGTAGAATATGATTTGAAGACGTGTTACATTCTTTTATGTTGTGGAACATTTGTTTAATGATGCAAAGATGTGTTGCATCCTTTTATGTTGCATTTGCTTAACTCTGTGAAGCTGTGTTAATTTACCTGCCTGAAACACCTGCTTGATCTAATAAAGAGTTGAATGGCTAATAGCAAGGCAGGGCTGGCAGGCAGAGAGAATAAATAGGAGGAGAACTCTGGGAGGAAAAAAAAGAAAGAGCAAGGGATGGAAGGGCAAGAAAAGAAGGGCTCAGCAACATAGCCAGCCATGGATCAAGAATGAAAGTAAGACAGACAGAAGTAAGATAAAAGGCAAAAGGTAGATGGAATAATTTATGATAAGAAAAACTGGCTAGAAACAAGCTAAGGCTGTGCTTTTAAAGTAGTAAGACTCCAAATGTATTTATCTGGACGCTGCGTAGTAGGACTCCCCCTCCCTCCAAAAAAAAAGTCAAAAGAGCCAAAGAGTGGGGGAAAAAAAAACCCTAACAACAGATAACTATTTCATTGTAGAGTTTTTTGTTCCTGCGTTTTCTTTTTCAACCATGTTTTTTAGTTCAAAACTAAACTATTTGTATGCTCTCAAGATGACATGAGCACTTAGATATTTTTAAAATACCATTTTTGTCTTGCTTCATTTATTGACTTATAATAAATTGAACCATACCAGTATAGTACATATTATTAAAATAAAAACAAACTATTAAATTGTGATTCAAGGCTAAGACGAGTTTTGAGTCTGTTTTACAACAACCCAATCCCAGCTCTTTTTTCTTTCTCATACAGTCAATATCTTTATCATATCAAATCTATGTCATGTCATAGGAAAGGTATCTGATACAAAAACCAAAACCCTGGATTTTTGAAGTATATATGAATTATACAAATGAATCTCACTATGACATCTTCATCTGTGGATATAGTTAGTGTATTTTGATCATAGTCATACACACACCAATTATCTTGTCTTAAAAAACTCTAACTTTTAAAAAGTACTTTTTTTAAGAAAAGGATTTTCATTCATGTCATTTAGTTTCATATTTATTCATAGAATGTCACATAACTGTAAAACTCTAGATTTTAAACTATAATTCCTTTTCATATTTTAATCAGTTATTGAAGGTTTAGATATAAAGTTTATAGTCTGGGTCTGGATAAAGGCACAGAGGTTAAGAGCACTGGCTGCTTTTCCAGAGGACCTGGGTTCAATTCCCAGCACCCAGATGGTAGCTCACAACCATCTATAACTCCAGTCTCAGGGAAATTTGACACCCTCTTCTGATCTTTGCAGGCACCAGACATAGTGCACATAGTGACATATAGGCCAGCAAACATTCATACAAAATAAATAAGTAGATATTTTAAAACATATAACTTAAAATGTTCTTAAATTCTATCAGTTAAATCAGCCTCCTGAAGTCTTTAGAAAGACTTAATTCAATAAACTGTGAATGTTTTGGATATTCTGAAGAAGCTAGACAGACCTTCACTCAAATTTTGTTTTGCATGTTGAGAATGATGATTCTACACACAAACCCAAAATACATTAAGAAATAATTTTCTGCTCATATAGCAGAATTCTGGAGGGAATTCCAGAAATGACTTTAGAGATCATTTGAGTTTTAAACAATGACTAAGGATGAGGGTTCCAATAAAGGCTTTGAACTTCCTGTTGGCAGCAAAGAGAAACCAAGAGGATTTTCTCTGAAGTTTGATCAGATGTAGGGGGAAAAAGTGAAGATTTAAAAATATGTCAGCAATTACACATTAAAATGCGGAGCCATACTCTTTATTACTTGATAACTGAATCTAAAAAGCACATAAAGATATTGAGTAAAGTATATAATTTCACCAAGTTTTAAATATCTTAATTCAAGCTATATTTAGTTGACAAATATGGAATATAAAATATAAACACGAAAGTCTTGTCTCAGACCCCCTCAAAACCAAAAACTACAAACAATGAAACAAAATATAAAATATAAAAACTAAAAATGTTAATATAAATGTTCCTTGTTGAAGATGGAAAACAAAAAATTTTTTATTAATCAAAAAAGCTTTAAGCAAAGCCAAACAACAGAGATAGAGCAATACAATTTTCAGATATTAGTCTTTCTTTCACATTTTAGTAACATAATTAGCAAAAATATAATTTTAATGTTGTTGCATTTAAAAGAAAATAACAAACTTTTATTGTCACTGACATGAATTTTTAAAAATTACTATTAGAATTTTGTATCCTGCAATAATGAAGCATAAATAAAACCCAGTGATTCCAAGACTTTTAATTGCTAAAGTATGAATTCTGCACAGTTATCATTAAAGGTCTTCTGATAATTTGAAAATATCCTTGTTACTATCAAAATAACTAAAATACTACCAAACTAAAACTCAAATTCCAGGGAGAAATGGACTTAGTATTATACAAAATTAATGGAAAAATATTGATAGAAGGACTGTCTGAAAGGGCTTACAAAGTCAAAATCAAATTAAATAATGATTAGCCTATGCCACAATAAAAATAAAACATTCAATACTTAAATAACTTCATTTTTTGATTCTATTCAAAAGAAAATGGAAAACTAAAGTCATCTTTTCCAGTTCCAAATGTATGAGTTGAAGAGTCTGAGGGAAAAGAAAACGTGAAGGTATCGTCTCCTTCTGATTTCCCAAATAAGTTTCCTAAAGAATATAAATATTAAAATATCATTGTATTTATATTATATAAAACAGTCTACTAGACTACAGAGTATTGCACACAATAAATAGATGAACATTGAATCACTTATATATTTAGCATATATTTAAATGTATTCTTCATATACGTAAGGCATTGTTTGTGGTACTATGGAAAGGTACATTCTAACTTAAGCCCTACTTACAAATAATCTGAACTCAAGTATGTAAAGAACTTGTATAAATAGCAGGAAGTAGGGTAAGCCATCTCAAAGAGAAAGTACATAGGCCCAAAAACAGCCGTGCATAGGAAACAATAGGGTAACATAAATCCATTCAACTTAGCAGGACACTGAAAACAGTAACAAAGATATATTAAACAAGAATTAATGAAGATGAGTTTGCAAAGACTACTGAATGTCTCACTAATGTAGACTTAGATAATAGGAAACCATTAAAATATTTTCGAGCACAGATATAACATGACTTAAATTGCTTTATATGGTTACTTTGAAAAACATGTACAGAATCAGTAGAAAGGAGCAATTATAAGTAGTGATAGCTAAAAGGGGAAAATATATTATTCAGCTATTATTTATTGAGGAATTACAAAATATGCTGATAGCAGCATCCAAAACCTTTTTGACAAATCTGTGAAGAGTTTTCCAGTTTTGAAAGACAATTTATAAATCAACTTCATGTGTACATTTGCTTTATGTCAATTTTCATTCATTACTCATTATTTAAAATAGAAAGCAAAAATATTTTTCAGTATCTTCAATATCAACTATTACTAAACAATTTAGAATCTACAGCAATACAGCAGCTTAATTGAAATAAGTGGCATAAAACAACCAATGTCAAATGAACTAGGATGAACAGATTAGCAGATATTTGTGTTCCTCCACTTCCCTTTTTATTTTATTCTTTACTAACTTTATTTCATAACCATAAGAATTAAACAGACAAGACTATACAAACTCAGAAAGAAACACAGCCTTGAATATTTCTTTTTGCATAAATGAGTTATATTTTCTTTTTAATTTAGGAAGTTCCTATGAAGTCTTTGTAAAATTCCTATGCATTCTATAAATAAGTTTATCACAGTGTAAGGCAGTATTTTAGGTGCTCTGAGAAATTCAAAGGTAAATATAAAACAAGTCCTTGCCTTCAAAGTTCCAAAGGATACTATATGTAATAAATACTTAAAGATATTATGTAGGTTATAAACATTATTTTAAAAAGAAGAGGTTCAGAAAAGTAAAGGAGAGATTTTTTTTTTTTTTGGTTGGATGGAAGGTAGAAGGTGGAATAAAGCTTTTATGGAGAAGAAGGTAGTCTTTAAAGATAAAGATGGAAGCTGGAGATTGTAAAAAAAATGCAGGAAAAAGTGTCTAGGCATATGACATATGCTTAGTCATAAGACTCTTCAGTCTGATGAAAGCAAAAGTAATTTGTGTTTAAAAAGAGCTTCAATGTTATATTGAATTTAAAAATTAGAAAAATAGGAAGACGATATATAAATGACAGTCAATGAGAGCCACTTAAGAATTTAACTATGACTATAACAGAGTCAACATTATGCACAAAGAAGATGAAACTGATCTAGAGGTAAGCCAAGAAGAAAAGACCAATTAAGATGTCACTGTAATATCCCATGTGAATGGTTATGAGTTGGAAACACAATTAACTCAGAAGGAATAGAAAAAGAAGTATTTCCAAAAAAAGAACTGATAAACTTGCTGACTAGCTGAATTTAGTCACAATAGCAGAGAAAAGCTAAATTTATCACAGATACTCTGAATCTTGACAAGTAGAACAATGGAGATAACCATTAGGGGTATCAGAAGGAGAATAGCTTTTATTTCAGATACTGAGTTTTTAATGTCAAAAGATATCTTATATATAAAGAGTTTATCACTAGCCAATCAGAAATAAGGGCCCAGAGTTTAGGAAAAAACTGGTTAACAACCACCAGTTTCCACTTGAATTATTTTAATCATGCTAATTATTTAATGCCTGCTAATCATCTCCCTGCATTTACCCGTGTTTTTATATAGTGTTTTTCCATATAGCAATCCACAGTAATCCTTAAAACAAGCAACAAACAAAATCCTGTCACATCATGTCAGTCATTTGCTCCGAACCCTCTGGTAGCTTCCTATCTCACTTAGAAGATCATCCAAAAATTTCAATGATCAAAAGGTTGCATATGATTTGTTCTTTTTCACACTCTATTTTTCTGCACCATTCTTTCTCTCCAATTTAATCATGCAATTTACCTGCTTTTCACTGAACATACCAAGCACATTACCATGTCAAGACCTTTTCACTCTTTACCTAGAATACTTTTTCCAGCAGCTACTACTTCCATCTCCTTCATGTCTCTGTTAAAATGACATTCATTATATGTTCCTGAATGCCCATGTGGCACAGCACTCATTTTCCTAAACCAGGAATTTCCTAGTCTTTTTATTTTGGTTTATGTAGCACAAATTCTAATTGTTCTTAATAATAAAAACCTGGAGTCAGAAATAGGGGTGAAAGCTGAGAGATCAGAAAAGTAAAGCAGATGGCCACTAGCGAGACCTTTTACATCTACCAAATCCTCAGACCAAAAAGGGCAATCCCGTCCACTGACTGCTGCCTCAAGCTGCACAGAGCTCCCGCTTTATATTCCTCTCGCCAAATCACAACACCCTGGTCCTGGGATTAAAGGTGTGGGCCACTACTGTCTGGCTCTGTTTCTCTTAGAGACGGGATCAATCTAGTAAAGCCCAGGGTGACCTTGAATGGCAGAGATCCATCTGCCTGCCTGTCTGCCTCTGTCTCACAAGTGCTGGGATTAAAGGTGTATGCCACCACTGCCTCGTCTCTAATGTCTAGCTCTGCACTCTGATCTCCAGGTAAGCTTTATTTGTTAAAACACAAACAAATTATCATTACAGGCTTAGTTTCCTTCCTAGTAGTATGATCAATAAGGGTTAACTCAAGCCAGAGCTGAGTCAGGCCCACATGGAAGGATGACTTAGGAGTTTTACTTCTCTTAACACCATTTTCTTAGAAAATACAGGATCAGGGCAAATGTAGAATGTTGTGCCAGCCAACTGTGCTGTGAAAAAATATACCTGAATTAGAGAAGTTATGAATTAGCATACAGGCCTTGAGCCTCATGACCAGAATGGGATAAATGATTGACAGAAAAATAATAGTGTAACTTTTGTGGGTCAAGATCACCTGCATGCACCATGTGTCTTGTTTATGGCAGCATGACATGTTCCATGTGGATGAGGTAGCAAAAGAAATCTTATTACTTGGGTAGCTGATGGGCTTTCAATGAGACAAAACACACTATATGTGCTTGTTATTTATTATTTTGCATCCTTCTACAAAGTAAATATATTAAAAGTTATAATATGAATCTAACACTTCAAGTCTACAAACTATTTAGTGCACTAATATAGTATACATAGATTTATTTGTCTGTCTTCTGTCACTCCCAAAAGAACATATGCCCTATGAAAATTGATTCTTGCCTACTGTTCTTTGATCAAAGCCAAAAGTAGTACCTGATAACTTGATACACACAGTTGTATCCAGTTTGTATGTGTGTTAAATACATACATATACAAAGATGACTAATCAAATAATAAATGAAGAAAGTATTTCAATAAAAAATATGCACCAGAGAGACAGGAGAAGATAAATTTTTTTCCCAAAAGGATGGGAATAGTTAATGGTAAATTATTAAAAAGTATTAAATATGATAACAAAAGTGAGATACCCATGTTTGATACCCAGTTTGATACACTAACTTCTCAATAATACAGGAGGAAAAAAGTTTGGCAAGTTGTGGAAGTTGCTGAAGTGCTCAAAGAACGAAGAAGGAAGAGGGACAAAGGGCAGGAGGACAGGAAAGAACAGAACACTTACTGACTGCTTTCTGTGTGATGAGATTGCAGCACTATCTCCTTAGTTAACATTGTCTAGAAGTAAGTAGTTTTAAATAAATAAATTAAGGAGCTAAAAGATCAACTGGAGATAAACCAAGTACCATGAAGGAGAATTAAAATGTTTTTATATGTAGAGAACTTCAAATCACTTACCAATTTCTTGTTGTGATGAAGGAGGATTTAGGTTTACTGCAGAGTAATGTTCATTAAACTGGAAAATAATTTCCATTAACTATTACTTGTGAAATCTAAAGTATAATTTATATAGCATTTATATTTAACATTAGAGTCTGTACTTTTAGTATATAAAATTAGAACAGACACGACAGTAACTTTCTACATAGCACAGTACAAGACTTAAAAAAAAAAACCTCTTGTCTTTGGGCCTGGGATGTAGCTCACTGGTAGAATCCTTGTTTAGCATTCATGAGGTTTTTGGTTCAATCTCTAGGACTGGATGGATAAATTTGTCATTTACTTATATTAAAACAAGGACTGGCCTGGAGGGTGTGACTCAGTGGTAGAATGTTTGTCTATAGAATTCCTGAGGCCTAGGGTTGATTCCCAGCATCGCAACAAATAAATAAATGAAGCCTAATAACTTGATTATAGCAATATATAAAAATATTTACCCCTAATCATCTCTATCTTTCTTTTGAATATTTTATAGTTAATATTTTTTAAAATTTAATTTAATTCATCTGTTAAGTTTTATTGGTGTAATGTGTAAATGCCTAATTTATTCTTAAGACAAGTGGTCCCACCTTTATCATATTCTAAATTCTTTTGTTTCAGGACTTTCTAGCCTATACCACTGATTATTTGATCAATCCTTATATCTTTATCAATTATATCCTATTAATTTCTAAAAGAGGTAAATGACTTTTTTTGACAATCTAAGTTGGTCAGTTTCGTTAATCATTTTTAAAGAATTAACTTGGAATTTCTAATTTTCTGGTTTTATTTTTTCAGCTTGTTGACTTCTAGTGTTTTTTTATTTCTTCATTCTCTTTTGATATGCTTTTCTTTGTTGTTCTTTTTAATATCTTTCAAAAGAAAATCAAAGATCATTAATTTTAGACAGTTTTTTTCTATTAATTATTTGTCTTATAACTAAATTAAATAACTACCATCTTTGCTCTAGCTGTGTCTACAATTTTGAAATTTACTCTACAATTTTGAAATGCTGAATTTTCATAGTAAGTAATTTTAAAATCTTTTCTGGTTTCTCTTACGACTATTTTCTTGTCCCACAGCCTAACTGTTTAGAATTCTTCTAGATATCTTAAGTTCCAATTTAATTACACTATGGTCAGAGGATACACAATACTCTGATTCTGATACTTCTATATTTATCATGATTCATTTAATGAACCAAAACATAGTCTATCTTGTAATTATACCATTAGTGACTGAAAACTTGAGTTTTTGGATATGGTGTTCATTAAAGTCAATGAGACCAGAGAGACTGGTTATATCATTTAGATTTTACAGGATGTGTTTATTATGTTATCTAATTTTAACATCTGTTGAGAAAGGGGAGTATAAAACCTTCATAGTTGGGTAATCTATTTACCTCGTATGCAAATTTGACTAATTAAATATCCAATTGACTCATTAATTTTATAACTTGGAACTGAACCCAAGTTACTGCAAATGCTAGGTAGACACTCCACTAAGCTCAATACATAGCTCTCTCTGTTATATGTTTTAAAGCTGTTGCTAGACAGAAACCTTAATTATGAATGTTCTATCTTCCTTATGAGTTGAACTTTTCAGTTTTATAAATTATTTTTCATTTTTAGCAATGTCTTTATAATGAAGGGTACTCCAAATAATAATCATATAGCTACTGTGGCCTTCTTAAACTTAGAATGTTGATGAAATCTAATTCACATCTATTAATTTTCAACCTATCACCAGGCTCTATATTGAAATATATGTCTCTCTCCTTTCTTCTTTTCTTCCTCCCTCCCTCTGTCCTCCTTTTCTTTTTTTCAAGAGAGGGTTTCTCATTCCAGAGTGAACTCATTCTACAGATCACGCTGGCCTCAAATTCAGAGATCTCCCTGCCTCTGCTTCTCAGTGCTGGAATGAAAGCCATGAGTCACCACCACTGCCTTTATGCTTTCTTATTCAATTCCTTCTTTATTGTCTTCTTTTGAGTTAAATACTTGTTTAGAATTCCATTCTCTTACCAATTTTACTTTTGGGCATTTTCATAATGCATCATGATGCTTGTACTAAGAAATATATTAATTGAGTGGTCTCCTTTCCCAACTCACCACAACAAAACAAAAATTAAAAATACACCGTTCCCCAGGATTTTTTTTTATTTTTAGAGACAAGGTTTCTCTGTGTATACCTGGATATCCTGGAATTCACTCTGTAGACCGGTCTGGCCTCAAACTCAAAGAGAATCAATCACCTGCCTTGTCTTCCCAAGTGCCTGTATTGAAGGTGTGTGCCACCACTGCCCAGCTAATATCCAGATTTTCAATTATATTAAAACTATATTACATTTAAATTGCATTAAAAAGGAACAGATTTTCATAATACTTTTTTTCTTCCTATGTAAATACCTCATGTATTTATGCTTTCAATTATTCGGTGGTTTTATAGTTTTCTTTAAGCAAAACTTTAAACTTCCTGCTAAAGTTATACATATTTAAGTTCATGTTACTATTGTAAAAAACAATTTAATTTTTATGGTCTGTTTTTTCTTGTCTAGATGTTCTTTTTAGAAATTACGTGCTTATTAAGTAAATGTATAAGTAACAAAAGCTAAACACATTAAAATAATATAAAATGTATATACTATATCTTCTATCGATAAATTTATAAGCTTTTCAATTTAATATACTGTAATAAAACTTAGGCCACATAAAATGCTAGGTATGATTATTTAAATGAACAATAACAAGAATAACAAAAATTTACATTTGTACTATATAGCATTAGTAAGTAGCACTTTTGAAAATACTTTTTATATATAAACTCATTTAATAGTCATAAACTCTATGGCAGTCACTGTCACTACTTATATTTTACAGATTAGGAAATTAAATTATTTTCAACTTCATACACTCTACATGTCCAAATATTGAGAGGATTCCATGTCTTATTTTAACTACTATATTTTATTGTATACTCTTACTTTTAAAGCATGAGTTAATATTGGGTTTTATTGCTAAATTCAGAAGTAAACAATTTACAGTGAATTGCATCACTGAAAAGCAGCAATACTCTTGCAAATTATTTAGGTCTTTTAAATCTAATTAATGAAAGAGTTACCATATACATACATAACTAAAAACACTAATGTAACACAATAGCATTATGAATTAAGTGAGAATGTGTAGGTTATTTTTACCCCGAAAATGTGTAACATGTTAGTTACAAAACCAAATTCATTTTAATCTGCCTTTAACTACAATTTAGATCATCCCTATCTTAAGGTTTTTGTATTTTTTTTCTTTTATTTACTTTGATTTGGGTGCTGGAAATCAAGCTCAAGACTTCAGGAATAGTAGGCAAGCACTCTACCATTATGTGAGCCATATCCCAGATGGAGATTTTCTCTCTCAAGATTTATTTGTATTTCTGTATATATGTTTGTGTGCTATGTATGTACAGATGCCCTGGGGGGCTGGAAAAGGCTGTTGGCTCCCCCAAACTGGAGTTACAGATGGTTGTGAACTGCCTAACACAGGTGTTAGAAACTGAACTCAGCTCTCCTGAAGGGCATCTAGTAATCTTAACTGTTGAACCATCTCTCTGGCCTCAATGTTTTCTTTTAATAAATAAATCTGAATCAGTATTGTCTGAAGTTAAGAATGAAAAAAATACTCAGACCTTTTTCCATGTTGGGAGTGGAACTCAGGCCTCAAGCACTCTATCACTGAGTTATATTAAAGCATTGTTTTTTAAGTTGCCTCTGTACATATTCTGCCCCAAAAAAGCTAAAGCTGCCTAAAGCTCTGATGTAGGTTTTTAGAAATAAGTCACCTTACCTGATCTGATGAGATTTCTGAATCAGAAACAAAGGAATCAAATAAATTTAGTCCAGGTGATCTAGAAGTATAACTCGTAAGAAACGAGAATCCAGAAGAATCCTTTTGTTTTTGTCCATCAGGTACTACATTTCTTGTTCTGTTACAGAAAAGATTTAAAAATCACCAAAATGTTATAAATGTTCACTATAGGCAATGGTATACAGGTAAGAATTTGTAAAGAAATAGCTGGAAGTAGGCTTTAAAGTAACAAACTTACAGAGAAATGATGGTTTGAGTAGGGAATATAAAAATCTATCTGGGGATAATAACTGAATTCTTACCGAGAAATGCTGTCAGCATTATTCCAGCTACTTACATAAGTGTAATTTACTTCTTGCAACAATCGATCAGAACAAGTATTACTGTTATCACTTTCATTTTACAGCAAATAATTTTGAAGTTTAGAAATGTTAAGTGATTTGCTTCAAAGAATAGTGAGTACTAAAGTTAAAATTTAGATGCAGCAATTCACATTCAAAATCTAAGCTCTTATCTCTGACACTGTCTTCAAAGATCTTGAAAATTAGTCACAAAACATGTTTTAATGAGAAGACATTACAGAGTGTTACATGAGAAGATAAACTAGAAATGATCTTGAATAAATAATTAAACAAGACAGTATATAATAACCAGAATGGTCTGAATTTAAAATTTCAACTTTAAGCCATGCAGTAGTGGCGCACGCCTTTGATTCCAGCACCGGGAGGCAGGGGCAGGCAGATCTTTTGAGTTCGAGGCCAGCGTTGTCTGCAAAGCGAGTTCCAGGACAGTCAGGGCTACACAGAGAAACCCTGTCTCAGAAAACAAAACAAAACAACTCAACTTTAACACAGACTGGATGTATCACCTATGGTTCTGTTTCCTCATCTATAAAATAAAATAATAGTGTACCAGGGATTCACAAAGTAAAATAAAAGGAACAATATTATAAAATATCCAACAGTTGCTTATACACACAGCACTATAAAGTGTTTTTGTTTTCTTTTATTTGTTGGTTGGTTAACTTTCAAGATAGGGTCTCACTATGTAGCTCTGGCACAGGTGTGCACCACCACCATCTAGCTTATAAAGTGTTGGGTTGTTGTTTTTTTTTTTTAAGATGGAGTATAGCTCTGGTCAGTGTGTACTTAGAAAGAGTGAGGCCTTAGGTTCATTTCCCAGCCACCCCAATCACAGATAAATATATATAGTTATATATAAGTCTGACAAAACTGTCATAGCAATCTCTATGATCATAAATGAATCATGTATCTTTACAGATCATAATGTTCTCACCCAGAGTTTTAGTGTACAATTCAGCATTCATTCACAATTTTAGGATTTGATGTTAAGTTCTATTTTGAATACATTTTACTTAAGCCAAATGCATGGCATTCATATATAAAATTCTTAGTAGTAATTTAAAATACATGAGTAGAACACAGGTGAGAGATACCCGATAAAGCAAAATCTGATTTAGGTTTAAGAGGAACTTAGGGTTCTGTTTTAAGCAACAGAATGAACTAAACCCAAAGGCTAAATGCAGCTTTGCTTTCTTGGCTGAAAATCCTCAGTCAGTGCTTTCCAATGTTGTATATTTATATTAGAGACACTTAATCTTAAAAAAACGCTAATTCTACAGCTAGGTGGTGGAGGCACATGCCTTTAAGACCAGCACCTGGGAGGCAGAGGCAGGTGGATCTCTGTGAGTTCGAGTTCAGCCTGGTCTACAAGAGCCTGTTCCAGGACAGGCTCCAAAGCTACAGAGAACTGCTGTCTCAAAAAAACAACAAAAAGGGGGGGGGGGTTTCTTGCTTCAGACACTACATATATGGAAAACTGACTGACCGCTGAAACATTATTCAATAAGTGGTCCACAACCGCTACATGTATCAGTAGTTCTTGAGCTTGATTTTTTAAAAAATTTCCACATTTTTATTCTTTGTAAAATCTGAAACCTATATATTGTCACACTGGATACTCAGAATCTTTATCACTTTACCAACAAACCCCAAACAAAAACTAAGAACAGGGAGGAGAGTCTATGAAACAAGAATGGCAGGACACTAAGAACTGTACAAATGTGGTACATGGTCTCTTTCTTGTTTTCATGACTGAAATACTAAAATCTTTTCAAGTTCTAATTAATTAGATATTTTACTACTCCTATAAATTATTTATATAACTCTGCATAAATAATTCAATTAGAATTATTAATAGAATTCCTACATTTCAAAGAAGGTGCTGTTAGGGAACTGCATTTTCTCTACAGACTCAGGTGTCTTCACAGTGTCCAGAGATTTTAGAAATAAAGGAGTTTCAGGAGATTTTGGACAATTCTCAGCCCTTTCATCATCTTCAGTACTTTTATTTTCTATTGACTTTCCAAAGCGTTCTATGTACATGGCCTGCAGAAGGAAAGCAAGAGAACACTTTTCACAATGACTGTTAATACCTAATAAAAGAACACACTTATAATGCATAAGATAGGACGCATTAGCCTGTTATCACTTCATAGATAAGGAAAATAGAAAACCAGTTATTTTGTCAGTAAATTCTTCTCCTCTTCTCAGCCCTATCTCTCTCATCACTACATGAAAAAGTAAATGATAACCAAAATGTACTAAAATCAAAGGAAAATACTGAGGAATGGTTTTTCTTTTAAAATTTCCACATTATATTCTGCTAACTCCGTGAAAAGGAGATTTTCTTTTAATCAATTTTGTTTATTGCTTTATGCTATAATCTTGATCTGTGTTGAAAGCTTAATCCCAAACTTGGCATTCCTGGGCGGTAGTGAAGAGTTTAGGAGGTGGATCTGAGAGTTCTTTAGATCATGGTGGTGGCCTGCTCTAAAAACAACTGTGAGATCTCTTCTTTAAAAACATTCTTGGTCAAAGATGAGGGGTTTGACTCCATGCACTCTGCCATGATTTGTACACTACTACTGGCCCAAAACAATAGGACCAACTAATCATGAACTCTCAGATTATGAACTGTAATAAAAATATCTTATGAAGTTATTCCAGGTAATTGTGCTTTAAGGTGAATATTAACAAACAATTGCCTACTTTTCTATTTTTTTGCCATTATAATTTTATACTACTTTATCTCTAAAGATTGAGAACCTGAATACTAACTTTTTAACCTCATTTTTGTACACACACACACAGAGGGGGGGGGGGAGAGAGAGAGATTTATCATATATGACTATACCAAATCCTACTACAGAAAGAATTTGGGTTTGTGTAAAAGAAATATAATGTGCTCATTATCTGTATTTCCTTTACAATAGAATACTACTTTATCATTTTTCATTTTAATCCTTGGTACCTTAGTCTGTCATCAATAAAGCTTTCCATATATTATAAAGTATATTTTACTATATTGTCAAAATACTTTCATGGCAATCACTGCTCTTGAATTGCTATAACAAATCATTCAATCACATCAAACAAAATTATTTTCTTCAGTCATGAATTGGTTTCCATCTCAATATGAATCATCACTTATGAGTGAAAACCTTTTGGTATTTGTTTATATAAATTTTTATGGATTCTTTTTTCAAACTGAAAAATAAAATTTCTAACCTTCTAGAACCTGACTTCCAAGCTAATAACATCTTACATAATTTTATTTGTAAAAAATCTAAAAAAATAAATGGGTACAGAATAATTTTTTAAATTATGATACTACGCTTAAAAATTAAAAACCTAACATTTGACTTACCTGTGGAGTATAATTTGATTCTCTTAGTTGTCTTACTGTCTCTTTATTTCCGCACCCAGCATCTATTTATTATACAAGAATGAACTATTTTATTTATGCAATTTTATTATGAAATTAAACAATTTACTTTTCTGCTTTAAAACGTCATGGCAAATTATATATACATCTTATGTCTCTCTTTTTGTTTTGCATATGCTTATGCAATTCCTCCATATCACTGCATGCAGACACAGTTTTCTCATTACTTGTATAAATATTCCATATATCAATGCATTCTACAACAAATGGCACTCTTTACATATAATCCATATTTCTATTTCTCCAAGTATATATTTAAGATGTAACTGTGAGACACAGAGTATGTATGTGTATCTCCCAATATCAGGTATCAAACTTTTCTAAAATGACTGTACCAATTTTGGTTGAAAAAACTAGTCACTGTAAAAATCATGAAATCTCAGAAAATTAGCTATAACTTAGGTGGTTTCAATATACAGTGATCTATTAATTATGATTCATATCACCAGCTTATGAGAGCACCTATTGCTCAACACTCTCATGAATAATAATATTGGTAGACTTTTAGATTTGCGGATCTGGCAAATGTATAACAGTATCTCACTGTAGCTTTACACTTCCCTGATTTGCTAAGCATCATTACATGTTCATCTGCCAGAAGTTTCTTTCGAAGTGTCAATTCACATAATTTTTAATAATTTATTTATTTTTATCTTATGTGCATTGGTATTTTGCCTGCATGTTTGTCTGTGAAGGTGTCAGATCCTGGAGTTACAGACAGTTGTTAGCTGCCATGTGGTTGCTGGGAATTGAACCCAGGTCCTTTGGAAGAGCAGTCAGTACTCTTAACCAATGAGCTATCTCTCCAGTCACAAATAACGTATTTCTATTTTCCAAGTTTTAACTTTCTTTTCTTTTCCTGTATGTCTGTTTAGATATTCACATGTATGTGAGTATGTGTGTGTGCACATATGGAAGTCAGAAGACAGTGTTGATTCTCAACCACTCCCTTTAATCTTGTTTGAGACAGGGTTTCTTGTTTGTGGCTACATATGCCAGGCAAGCTGGCCTACAAATTCCAGGAACTGTCCTCTCACCACCTTCCATTTCATTATAGCAGTACTGAAATTAAAGACACGTTACTGTGCCCTGCTTTATGTGACTTCTAGTAATCCTAACTAACTGAGGCCTTCACACTTGCATACCAAGTAGTTTACCTACTAAGTCACGCCCAAGCCTCTATTCTGACATATTCTGCTTTTATCTGCCTGATTTGTAAAAGTCCTTTACACTTTGTGGTACTATTCTGGACAGATTTATGTATTATGAACATATCCTTTGGCTTTGTGACTCATTTTCTTCCTTTTCATTGTATCTCTTTTTTAGATGTTTTAGTTTACATGTATCTTGCCTGTATGTTTGTCTGTCTACTGAATATGTGCAGTACACACAAAAGCCAAGAAACGGCGTTGGATCCTCCGGAACTGGAGTTACAGGTAGTTATTAGTGGCAATGTAGATGCTGGGAAACAAACCCAGATCTCCTCTGCAAGAGCAACAAGTACTCTTAACCTCTGAACTATCTCTACAGTCTCCTTTTTATTATATATTTGGATAAACAGAATTTTTATTTAATATAACCAAGGAACAGTTTTTATTAATTAGGCTTTTAGTTATTATTTGAGAAATCTTTTCTCTTGAGAGCTGGAAAGATGGCTTAGCAGTTGAGTGAGTATTACTCTTACAGGAGACCTGAATTTGTTTCCCAGCACCCATAAAGGCCAACTCACAACTGCCTATAACTCTAGTTCCAGTAGATCCAACACCTTCTGGCCCCGTGGGCACCTCCATTCATGTGCACATACCCACACACTCTGATACAAACAAATACATAATTAAAAATAAATCAAAAGGTAAATAAAATAAATCTTTAAAAATTGGAAATGCCTCTCTTGAAGTCATAATTGAAACCTATTTTCTGAAAGCTTTGTACCTTTTGCCTCTTGCACTTAAATCACAACTATTTCTTTTTACCACATATTAATTTCCTCAAATATGGTTTAGCGATTGTTGAAAGTCTGTTTTTTTTCCTAAAATAATTACAGGTCTTCTTAAGTATGAAGCTTCATTACACATGCTTAACACAGGTAGTTCTATGCCAATTATATACATTTCCCAACATCTCTATGTCAAAGGTACATTGTTCTTAAGAGATTAATTATATTTTCCTGTCTAGTGCAATAAGCTTAGCTCATGCAGAGGATTATAAACAGCTGAAGCAGATCACAAGCACAGAAAAGGCATAATGTTTTTTTTCCTCTTAGAGGAAAGTAAAGAAAGTATTCAGGCATATAGGATACACATGTTGTTTCAGTTGAACAATAGAAGTGAGAAAAACAGGCTGACAGAAAATGACAATTCTGAAAAAGAATGTATCTAAAAATATTTTTAGAGATTTATTTTTCTTTATGGGTATGTATCTACGTGAATGTATGTCATATGTGTGCCAGCCTAAGGAAGCCAAAAGAGGTCAACAGATCTCCTGGAGCTAGAATTACGGGTGGTTGTAAGTCGTCATTGTGGGTAACAAGAATTGAACTTGAGTCCTCTGGAAGAGCTGGTGTACTCTTAACCACTGAGCCATCTCTCCACCCCCAGTTTACAAAATTGTATATAGTATCAGAATGACTCGTTGGAAACATCAAAAAGGTAAAAAAAAAAAATGATGACTTCAATATAAGCATGATACAGGGGATAATGTTATTCATTAATAGGTTACATATATATGTAAATATATATGTATGTGTAATGATATTTTGTTTATGTCTTAACAAACAATGTTTGCTTGAAGATCATAGTGCTGAGTTAAGCCACTAGAGGCCAGAGAGTGGTGGCACAAACCTTTAATCCCAGTGACACCAAATTCAGAAGCTAAAAAAATAATTGAATCTCTAGCCTTTGAAAATACTAATTCTCAATGCAAAAGGATAATTAGGCCTTTAAAGACAACATCAGTGCCTTTTGAGGAATGAATCCAATATACAATCAATATTGAATCTCACGACAATGATGATGTTTGGATAGGAGAGGTGATTTTTTGAGAAAAAAATCAAAATGTCATGTGTTTCAATTGTGGCAAACAAGGTAACCTTAAAATGGACTGTAAACAGGGTATTCCTAGAAACAATGTTTTCTCTAAGCACAATCCAAACAGAACACCCCTCTGTTCTGTATTATGCAGAGGGCGTAGCAAAGGTAGACATCGGAAAAATGAATGTAGATCAACAAAGGGACATTCAAGGTAATCCTTTGTCGTTGGGAAACTCCATGAGAGGCCTCTGGCAGGCCCCTATGCCAAATTCAGTTCAGCTGTTTCCTGTCATTGTGAAGTAAACTCCTTCACAGAGCAATTAAAGAACCTAATGCCTATAGTAAGAAACCAAACTGTTTTGGATGACAGAACAGCTATAGAAGAGAGAACAAAAAGTTGAGGAGGCCATAAAATGTGTATTTTGGCAAACTTCTATTAAATGAACAAAGACCAAAATTAAAAATATGAATAAATTATGTCACTGAAGGTCTAGAAGACACAGGTGCAGATGTAACAATAATTTCATCAGAATCTTGGCATCTAAATTGGCCTCTTCAGGAGGTAAATGTTTAGCTTTTAGGGATTGGAACTTTATCTCAGATAAAGCAGAGAATGAAATTTGTCGAATGTATAGGGACAGAAGGACAAAGAGGAAAATTAAAGCCATATGTGGCTAACATACTAACGAATTTGTGCGAACATGATTTGTTACAGCAATGGAATACTCAGATTAACTGTGCAGGAAAAAAATTTAACATGTTTCTGGGGAAAATATAAGAAGGAATTATAAAGAACAGTCACTGACCATTCAGATTGTACAAGAACAGGCCACAACAGCTACTGATCTTTCAAAGGCACCAACAGCCCTACCTTTAAAATGGTTAATAGACAAACCTGTATGATTAAGCAATGGTCTTTAACAACAAAGAAACGGCAGGTCTTAGAACAGTTAGAACAGGACCAGTTAAATGCTCAGCATATTGAAAAAAAATCAACCAGCCTTTGGAATTCTGTATTTTTTGTTAAAAAGAAATCTGGAAAATGGAGAATGGCAACAGATCTAAGAGTTGTTAATAAGGTGATTCAGCCAATGGGCTCTCTACAGTCTGGCATTCCTCTGCCTTCTCTATTGCCTAAAGGATGGCCTCTTACAATTATTGATTTAAAAGATTGTTTCTTCACTATACCTTTACAAGAAAAAGACAGAAAAAATTTTGCCTTCACAGTGTTCAATTACAATACTTCTCAGCTTGCTATGAGATATCAATGAAAGACTCTCCCAATGGGAATGTTAAATAGCCTCACCTTGTGCCAATATTTTGTGCATCAACCATTGGAAATGATATATAAGCAATTTCCTGAATCTATACTTTATCATTACATAGACAGTATTTTGTTATCTGATTCAAATGTAGATACTTTAGAAACAATATATAAAGAAGTAAAAAAAACTTTGCCTTGTTGGGGATTACAAATTGCTCCTGAAAAAAAATACAAAGAGGAGATTCTATTAATTATTTAGGCTATAAAATAGGTCTACAAATATTAGACCTCAAAAATGCAAATTAGGAGAGATCAATTACAGACTCTCAATGACTTCTGAAGATTGTTAGAAAACATTTCCCATCTACAGTGCACTATTGAGAGAGGTCCTGGCGACCTGATTAAATTTAAACAAAACCTTGGACAGGGAATTAAATATTACCAGAGAATTATCAGCTGAAACTGAGAGAGAATTGGCTTTGGTTGAAGAGAAATTACAGAAGGCACATGTGGATCATGTGGATCAGAATCTTAACTGCATTCTGGTTTAGTACCCTCCAAACATTCCCTTACAGGAATTTTAAAGCAGAGGGAAGATATCTTATAATGGATCTTTTTACCATATAAACCGAGTAAAAAATTAAAAACTTATGTGGAAAAGGTCTCTGAGTTAATTCTAAAACAAAAATTG